TTTGTGTTGTCTTGCCCTAGAGTGAATTGATTATTCTTGGAGCTGTGAGTACGAGAGTTGAGAGAGAAGAGAGGTCTCTTGCTTTGTGCTAACTTTTCTTCCTTCTTCTCTTAGCCTTAGTGGCTAGTGGGCTGCCAAATATCATTCACCTCACTCCTTTGTGGAACTTGAAGCAACCGGTTTGGGTGGTTGTAGCTTTGGAGATTGGTTGTTCATTGGTGGTGTCGATTGGGTGGTTTAATCTGAGCTTGGTTTGTTGTTGATTGAAGCCTCAAATCTCCACATCTGTAAAATCAGATTGTCGTAAAAAACATTATACATTAATGCAAAATAGATTTCGTGAATGAAGGAATTGGTCCTCTAAACACTTCATAATGGAGACTTTTCTAGTCAAGATTAGATGTCCGTTAACTATCCGAAGACTGCAAATTTACAGAAGAATAGCAAACATCTTTTCAATTTTATAATTCCTCGGTTATGAGTCTGTTACTACAGCAAGAGCCAATTATGATCAGAATGGCACAGGAATAGTCCAAAATGAAATTGCTTAGACCCCCGAATACATGCAAACAAGCCAATTGACCAAGAAAAATGATGTTTATAGCTTTGGAGTAGTCCTTGTGAAGCTACTAACAGGAAAGAAGGCATGAAGCTAGGACAGACCAGAGGACGAGAGAAATTTTGCCAACTATTTTCTTTCAATGTTGAAGCAAGGATGCTTATTGTCACGCGAAAATATATTTCGAATGTGAACTCCCATAAATGTACGGATCGTTGACAAATAATAAAGTAGACTTTTTTAGTTCCGAATATCGTTCCCACGGAGATTTATTTAATTTGATTTCTATTTACTACGATCTTAACCGAAACGATAATATTAACTAAAACTAAATCAACTACAATGCAAGTGTGAATTACTAAACTAAATGAAATTGATGGTTGAATACAAATTTTATGTAATTTATGAATGAAGGACGCATTACGATCTGAATCCCCAAGTAATAATTATTTCTAACCCTAGTTTTATAATTTGACAACACAAATCCAATTTTGACGAATCAATGTTCATATCCTATCCAACAATCTCTCTCAAGTAATGTTGAACCTACTCTCGCATGCTACTCGACTATATCTCTATGACGAATGCAAATATACAAGAATGTATGCGATTTTATAAACACTTAGAGATTCACATAAGGTATAGCGGTATATTTCTATTTCATATCGGACCTTATGATGATTTATATATGTCGAATTTATTTTCCTTCTCTCGAATGCATGAAACAAATCACCAAACTCACATAATTATCGTGCACTATAATTATGGAGGCAATTAATTCATATAAATCATTCTATAAATCAAAAACATGTTTTTAGTCAAATATATGAAACTAAAGATCAAAACATCAAATTACAAGGTTCATCGTTCACCTAGCACTGATTAACCTAGCCTAGTATAGTAGAAAGAAGAAAACATGAAAAAGAATCAAGAAACGACATCACCCAATTAATTATGGATTTGGATCTTCACGCCTTGGGGATGATTTTTTTTGTTTTTTGCCTTGTTCTATGCTCTCCAATCTTGAAATTTTCGTCCTCTAGGTCTCCTTCCAGTTTTTGGATGGCTTGTAGTTTATATAGATGTCCAGAGATTGGTTTCCATAAGAGTTGGAACGAAATAAGTAAACTAGAAATTCGCATCCAGAAAAATACTATGCAACCACATAGTTATGTTGAATGTGGTCGCATAGAACAATAAATTTTCCCCTGAAATTCTTTGAAACCTTCTATGTGGTCGCATGGATTTTAAACTATGCGACCGCATAGTTATAAATTTTTTTCGTCGGACAGTTTTCAATATTTTGATCGTACATTTCTCTCCCGATATCCAATTGAGGTGATTCAAAATGCGTTCGAAATCTAACTCAAAGGGCTATAAATCTTTCAGAAATATAAGTTTTCAAATTTGAACATTTTTTATGCCAAAAATAGGTCTCAAATTGAAACTGAAAATTCGAGGCATGACTTTTTCGACTGGAAGTTGATATGTGATAGTACTTCGACTATATTTCATCCATTTGGCTTCTTTCATCATCAAATTGATGCCGAACACTCTTAAATCTTTATCATGAGATGATACAACTTTTCAGTATTTGCACTTGAGTTCTCAAACTTTGATTTTGCTTCATTTTAGTCATTTTTGCTTGTTTTTCCGAATTTTTAC